CGACCGGAGAGATCAGCTGAGGGGAGTACAGATCTTTTGTATGTCACAGGTGTGGCGAGGAGGATCACTTTGGTAGAGATTACAGACAGAGTTTGTGGGTTTGTTTCCATTGCGCCCAGGAGGGCCACATCAGATATCGTTTTCTATTTCTCATTTTCGATGAGGTGATGGACCCTACACCCCTAGCTCAACGTTCGTCATGGCACAACAGGAGTTTCAGGGAGCGAGGTTTGAGTTATCAGTTCTTCTATTTAGGCGATTGTTGTAGTGTTGGTATTCATCTGTATTTCCTAATTATGTTTCGAAGTTCAGTTGTAATCTTGGATGATCAGTTGAATGAAATTACCTGATTCAACTCCAATTAGTAACATCATTACATTGTGATGTCCTTGAAGAAGCCAGTTATGGAAACCATTCAACAATCTCTATGATGATCGTAGAACTCGATACTAAGGCATTCTCTTTTCCTTTAAGATTGAAGAACCTTTATCTTCATGGCCAACATAACACATAATCAACTAACAAACCACATATCACATAATGGGCCGACCTTGGTGCTTTCGACCCATTGGTATGGTAAGGAGACTCACCTCTCAAGAAATGCTGAACCGGTAAAAATCAAATCCTAATTCACAACTTCGAACTCAATCGCATACGACCACCCTACAACTAACTTCAACAAAACCCCGAATTAACAAAGATACCCTTAAAGTCAAACTTGGTCAACCCTGGTCCAAGTCAAAGTCAACAGTCAAGGTCAACAGACCATGTTGACCCAACTCGTCGAGTGCACTTGCTGACTCGTCGAGTTCCTTCAGTTCTCATCAAAATTGGGAAAAACTCTAGTCAACTCGCCGAGTTATTACAACAACTCGACGAGTTCGAATAGTGTCCAGAAAATTAGGGAAACCCCGGGCCAACTCGCCGAGTTGGAAAGGCAACTAGTCGAGTTTGCCCAGTCTTAACTCATTCAACCACTTTCTAAGCGAGTCCAACGCTCTAAACCATAGATCTGATCCCCTAGGGCTGAGATACCACGTAAAGTTGCTGACTTTACGTCCATGCATGGTCTTAAGGGGGCTAAAACACTCAATCCTATCCTATTAAGAGATTTAGAGCATGAAGAAGGGCCAGGACTAGATAAAGGTGGCAACTTTAAGTTAAAATAGGCCATAAGATGTCTAGATCTGAAGTCATAGCTTCATGACATGCTCAAATCCAAGAATGACCCCAAGATATGCTAAAAATGACCATATACTTTCATAGGAGAAGATCTAAGCAATAAAAGGCCAAGGTATCGACTTTATACCTTAAAATGGTTGCCACAACAGAGTAAACATTGGATCTACAACCTCTTCCTTCGCCTATGCACCAACCACTTAAAGCTTCTTCACATAAACACCAAAAAGGCACTCCTTAAGCTCTCGCACACTCAAAAAGGTAGGAAAAGCACGGACTAGGGTTTCTCTGGACAAAGGGGGCGATAAGGGAGGCTAACAATGAGGTTTGAGGCCTTTAAATAGGGTGAAAACCCTATAAATTATGGTTTTCCTTTCCAGCGTCTACTCGTCAAGTTGGGGCTCCCCAACTCGTCGAGTAGACCCTTAATCCCGCATCCATATAGATCCCTACACGACGAGTTGGAGCTCCCCAACTTGTCGAGTTCCAACCCAAACCCTAAAATGTTGAGAAATATATAATACCCGGATCAAACGTTACAATGAAAGTCTAGATCTGAAACATATGATGACATATGGACCTTAAAAAGTGATAAAGTTGCCTACTTTATCACAACTAACCATTCATATCAACATAACATGAAGGAAATGAGCTCAAAAATCTAGATCTACAAGGATGAACCATAAATGTGAGAACTTGGAGACTTACCCAAGTCCAGAAGATACACAAAGAGATAGAGACAAGATGCTAGATGATCCTTTGCTCAACAAAGCCTTCCTTCAACCTTCAAATAACAAAATAACCAACAAAGGGCTCAAAAGACAAGATGAGAGGATAGAGTTTCAATATAGGAAGGTGGGGACTGAGGGCGATGACCTAACCTATAGATAAGGCATTTAAATATGTAGATACCAAAAAAATTATGGGCTTGGGCTGCAACAACTGCCACGTCGTGTCACCCTTCATGCCACGTCGTGGTGGCCACCAAAAATAAGCGATTCATAAAAGCCATGCCACGTCATGGTCATCCATGCACCACGTCGTGGCATAGAGTTTTTCCCAAAACCACATTTTGATCCCATTAAGTTTTTAGATGGTCAATTTTGGAAAATGGGTGTTACATATATCAATTTAGTTAACACCTTAGACAACTTAATACAATAGTAACTTTCTAATACAAGCTCCGTTTTTGACGTTTTTTTTATATCCAAGGGTTCGTATTCACGCCTACTACAAATTTGCTTTACATTCCTTTCGTTAAAAAATAATGTATTTTGATTTTCATTTTTATAACAAATGTTTAGATTTTTATTAATTCGAAAAGTGAAAACGGGTCATTACATACAAACAACCAACAAGGTGCGCCTCTAATCATATTCGGATCACAAAACTAAATATTTAAAAACTAGGGAAACCAAACGTATCAAACGCGAATAGTATAAACACACATTGATTTTCTATGAATGATTTATCATGTTTTGTCATTTTGCATAATGCAACTTTTAAAATTTAAATCAGACTATCCCACCGCAAAACCTCCACTTTCAAGCCAATGAGAGATGAAACCCCTATTAGATCTATAAACATATGTTTTTCTCCTGCCAATCAAAAAACAAAAAAGTCATCCTTAATGTTAACGTTTATTTCAATGAGTCATTCAAAAAGTTCACATGCCAAATACAACCTCAAACCATCAAACCTAATGGGTAAAAGAGAAAAAAGGGAAGTTGCTACGGGATGTCTCCAAATGAGAAGCCTCTATCAATTTTTGAGTGAATTAAGTTTATTACACAAGTGTTCTTACTAAGCGAGTTTGTATAAGTTTGTTAAGACCTTCATCAAATTTTGAGCGAATTGCTTACAAACAATAGTCCCATGAGATTTGTAAAAACTAATGTTGAAAAGAATTAAATAAAAAAAGCCCAATTTATAGACATGTATAAGTTTGATGCTCCTAAATTAATATCATCCAGACATGTATCAGTTTGATGCTCCTAAGAGCACTAGGTGTGAACAACTAGATGTAACACTATTTTGGTGCCACATCACATGCCACATCATCAATGGTATTATAACACCAAGTGGGGAAACGGTCACCATGTTGTATCTTGTTATGACACCAACTTTTTTTCCATTTTATAATTTTTTTTTTATTTTTTTTATTTTTTTTTAATTTAGACAAATATTTTTTAAATATAACATAATAAATAAAACATAATGTTTAAAAATTATAAATAACATATAATAATTTTTAAAGATTAAAATTAAAATAGAGATTAAATTACACATAACATCCAAAAACAAAAAAAGAAATAACATCCAAATTCAAAAAAATAAAAAATAAAAAATAAAAAAATACAACGCTATTCGTTATCGTTATTGTTACCGTAGAAGATATAATCCGCCAAGTCCTCTCGAAGCTGTATGTGTTTATTTGCGTCCTGAATGTCAACAACGTGATGCAAATAATCTGCTGTTCCTGGTTGAAACTGAACTTGTCTGGGCTCCGTTGGGATATATTGTGCAATATTTCGCCATTTATCTTCTACTACCATGTTATACATTATGATACATGCATACATAAATCTTGAGAAGCAACAGCCTCTAAAACCAACGAAGGTGATCCATGATGACCACTTGCGTATTGCCCTTTCCATGCTACCGGACAATTTTTCCATTTCCAGTGTGTGCAATCAATGCTTCCGATCATTCCGGGAAACCCATGGCGTTCTTCATGCGCCGCATACAATTCTTGCAAATCATGCAACGAAGGTTTCCGCAAATACACGTCTCCAAATGTTTCAACAACACCCCTTGACAATGTATACAAACTCTCCCTTGCGGTTCTTTCGGACATTCTCATATAGTCGTCCATGGTGTCGGGTGACTCCCCCATAGCCATCAAACGAATGGCCGCATCACATTTCTGCAACGTTGTAAACCCTCGTCTACCTCTAACATCATAAATTAACTACAGTTTAAAAATATATTGCATATGTTGTAAAATTAAAGAAACATGTAGTACATTTTTATTTATTTTGTATAAAAGTATAGTAAAGAAGCGATACCGGTTTTCCAAGGTGTTGACGATTCGTAAGAACACATTCCTACGCAAACGAAATCTTCTTTTGAAGTCATTCGCCCCGTATACACAATTATCCGCAAAGTAATCGCGATATAGATGTTCGTGTCCTTCCTCGCGATTTCTGTTTAACATCACACGTCTTGTTAGTAGCGGGGCTGAGTCTGGTTGTAGCAGGTCGGTAGTGTAATAATGATACATCATTCTGAAGAAAATATCGTCATCTGAATCATCGGACGAGTCGAAAGGGTCCATATTTTTTTTTGAAGAATTGAAACTATGTAGAGAGGAGAAGAGAAATTGTGTGAAATTTTTTATAGAATAGTAGGTATTTATAGGGTAAATGATTTTTTTTATACCGTTGCCATTTAAACGTTTGAAAACGTTTAAATTTTGTGCGTTTCATCCAGTCGCGACGGCAACGAGATGCAACCTCGACGAGCAAAAACGAGTAGGGGGCGGTGTTCCCCCGTCACGACGCCGTTGAGGCGTGCCACCTCATCCCCGTTTCTTCTCGTTTGGCCCATACCGCATAGTCTAAATCAATATCATCCATTCTTCAAAGTTCAAACAATCATGTGTGAATGACCATTGCAAGATTCTTTTAACCATTTTTACGGGGGAAAGGAACCCAAAGAAGACTAGAATTACGCTTCCTATTTTTTATATGACCTACAAATCGTATTCATATTACTTTCGTCATTTTAAATCAACATCTTGACACGATTAGCGATTTTCTAACTAAAACCAATTAGTCCAAAGTGCCATAATTTGGTAAAAACTGGGGATGTGATTTAACTCAAAAGGCGAGTACAACTCCTCATTTAAAGAGGGAGCAAAAAAGCAGATTGTCAGCATTGGCGTGCATATCATAGCAGATTGGGCTCTCGGGGTCTTCATCCTAATCACTACAACCCCCTCTCTCAATCTCAATCTCTGCAAAATACAACTCAAAATGATTTCACCCAACACAACATAAAATCAAAACAAAAAGATTACAACTTGAAAGCAGTATTTCATCTTTTCTTTAGTGGTCCTTTTCCTCAAGATTAGGGTTTTGAGATTAAAGGAAAAAAAGAAAGAAAAAGGGTAAAGATTCTGAAGAAAGAAAGAGTAGTGACTCTCTGGGATTCTTTACGAAACTGGGTAAGCACTTGAGCAGCACAGACGTTGGCTTTTAGTGTAAAATGGTTTCTGCTTTTGAGTGGACACAGAATATGGAGAACAGCTTGTCTTCTTCTAATGGGTGTTTGTCTGTGTGTTTTTCTTTGGGTGGGGTGGGGTTTTGTCTCTTTTTTGCATGCTTTGTTGTTTTATGTTTTCTCTATTCTCTAATACAGTAATACACTAATACACCCAAAGCTTCCATTTCTGTTATCTCAAAAAAATAAAAGAAACTGTTCATGTGATGCTTGGTGCTCTGTTTTTCCACAGAACTTGCTTCAATCGGCTATCGTGTTCTTCACCTTTTTCTCTCTACGGATCCACATATATGAAATATTGTAATGTAAAAGATGCTGTTTTGTAAGTATTTCGAGGTGGGTTTACCATTACAAGTTGATGCCGTCAAAAATTAGATTGAAAAAATAATAATAATAACTATGAGATTTTGTCTCATGATTCTTAAATTCAAGTGGGATACATACAAGATTTTTTTATTTGATTCTGCTTAAGTAAGCATCATTACATATGGGTATTCATTGAGTTAACTGATTTTGTGATCTTTTTTCTCTCATGTTTCCATTATTAAATTGCTTCTACTTGTACAAAAACAGAGCAAGAGATGCTTATTGTCTGCCGTTTCCATGGCGTATTGAAACTGATTCCAAGATGCTGTTTTCTATCTGTTTTGCAGGGTTTCTCGATCTTCAACGGTAATCTGATCTCCTTAGTTTAGGCTTCAAAGTTGTAGGTTTTTATTTTTTTTTCTCTATTTTCAAGATTATAATTAATACAGACAAGAAAAAACACAGTGTGTTAGTTTTTAGAGAGAAATTATACAAAAATAGAAGGGAGGTGGGTGGGTTGAGTCAGATTTGTGCTTGTGGGGTGTCTCATTTCATCTCTCTTACTCTCTCTCTAACTTTCTCTCTCTACTGGTATTAAAGAAAGAGAGAATAGTTTAGTCAATAGTGAGAGGAGTGTGTGTTACTGTTGTGTTTGTCTCCTGGGCTAGCCGGGTTCGCCCGGAGTCCGTGGGCTTTGCCGCTGAACCAGGACGCACTTTCTTTGATCCCATTTATCTCTTCATCTTCTTCATTCTTCATCTTCAAGTCATCAACAAAATCAATCCCCCATTTTCTCTCTCTACGTTTCTCACTCTTCTGGTGTTAAAGATTCTCTTCAAGAAATTTTTATATATATATTCTCACCCTCGACTCAGATCTTATTTCTTCTTCCTTCTTTGAAAAATCCCCCCACTAAAAGTTCATCAAAAAATCTTCAAAAAAAAAATCCACCCACAAAACAATCAACAAGAAATTTCAGAAAACCCAAAAATCTTTCGTCAGGAGTTGTTGAAAAACGAACCCAACTTGAACTTGCTTTTCTCCTTCATTTCTAGGTTCTAAGGTGTTGAAATTTGGGGATGTGGATGATCTTCACTTGCTTTGAGCTGAAAACAAGATAAGCAAGTTTTGAAGAGAAGCTACACAAGATGAAGTTCATGAAACTTGGATCCAAACCCGATTCGTTTCAGACTGACGACAACAATATTTGGTAAGCATTTTGATGAACCCTAATCAGTGATTTCCTGTTCTTGTTATCTTTAATAATGGTAGCATTAGTTGATTTCGATTATAATTTATTGCCTGGTGTTAAGATCAAAAATAAAGTATTGCTTAAAATCTAAGACCCGATTGCAATTTGCAATACAGGTATGTGGCTTCTGAATTGGCAACCGATATTGTCATCAATATAGGAGATGCAAAGTTCTATCTACATAAGGTAAAACCAGCCTGTTATATCAGTTGTACATTACTGCATTACAGTTGTACATTGTAAGTTTGTAACTAAATCCTCACATGTCACATCACAACCAATGTGTATTCTTTCAGTTTCCTTTGTTATCAAAAAGTGGTCGTTTACAGAAGCTAGTAGCAAGCACCAATGGTGGCATTGGGGACGAAATCGTCATTCATGACATTCCCGGTGGGCCCGCTGCATTTGAAATATGTGCCAAGTTTTGTTATGGCATGACGGTAACCTTAAACGCCTACAATGTTGTCACTGCTCGATGTGCAGCCGATTACCTCGAAATGCATGAAACAATGGAGAAAGGAAACCTGATTTACAAAATCGATGTGTTTTTAAACTCGAGTATTTTCAGAAGCTGGAAAGATTCAATCATAGTACTTCAAACAACCAAATCAATGATGATGTTGTCTGAAGAACTAAAGCTAGTGAGCCATTGCATTGAGTCAATAGCTTCAAAGGTATCGGTTGATGTTTCAAAGGTTGATTGGTCGTATACTTATAATCGGAAGAAGCTTCCGGAAGAAAACGATAACCGTATGTTAACTGGAGGACTTAGGACAATAACTGTCCCAACCGATTGGTGGGTGGAGGATCTTGCTGAGCTGGAACTCGATTTGTACAAAAGGGTTCTTGTTCATATAAAAAACCGGGGTTTAGTACATGATGAAGTGATTGGTGAAGCTTTAAAAGCTTTTGCTTCTAGAAGATTACCAGGGTTTAACAAAGGGGTGATACCCAGTGGTGATTTGGTAAAAACTCGATCCATAGTCGACACGATTGTATGGCTTTTACCCTCTGAAAAAGGCGCAGTTTCTTGTGGTTTCCTGCTTAAACTGTTGAAAATGGTGATTTTGGTTGATTCGGGTGAAATGGTGAAGATGGATTTGGTTAAAAAGATTGGTCAACAACTTGAGGAGGCTTCGGTTCATGATCTTTTGATTCGGGCTAAAGAAGGTGGGATTGATTCCACCATTTATGATGTGAAAACGGTTCAGAAAATAGTTGAAGAGTTTATGGTTCGTGATCAAGATCGAAATGGGGAATTTGAAGTAGATGGAAATGAGATTCAAGAAGTGAGGAGGTCAACCGGAGGGATATTATCAGAAGCTTCAAAATTAATGGTTGCTAAACTTGTTGATTCTTACCTTGCTGAGGTGGCGAAGGACCCGATTTTACCTTTATCAATGTTTGTCGATCTTGCTGAAACAGTTTCGGTTTTTTCAAGACCAGCTCATGATGGTATTTACCGCGCCATTGATATGTATCTCAAGGTAGAACTACTTTTAACATCCCAGTACAACCTGTCCTGTATACTGTTCTGTCCTGTACTGTCCTGTCTAATCTGTATGTCTATTTTGATACAGGCGCACCCTGGGATTAGTAAAAGTGAGAGGAAGAGAATCTGCAGGTTGATGGACTGCAAGAAACTTTCAGTGGAAGCATGCATGCACGCGGTTCAAAACGAGCGGCTGCCGCTGCGTGTGGTGGTGCAAGTTCTGTTTTTTGAACAGGTCCGGGCGGCAGCTTCCTCCGGGAGCAGCACACCGGACCTCCCGAAAGCAATCAAAGATCTGAACAGCACCTCCCATGGGAGCTCAAGGTCAACCAACACCAACACAGAAGAAGATTGGGATGCAGTTGCTACAACTGAAGAACTTAAAGCTTTAAGGGGTGAGCTGGCATCCCTGAGACTTGAAAGAAACGGTGGTGGACATGCAAAGAGCCCTTTAGCTGACAGGAGTTCTGTTCATAAGTTGAAAGGTTTGGTTGCAACTAAGAGGATTTTGACTAAAATATGGTCGAGTAAAGGTGGTGGGACAGGAGAGAATAGTGGGTCGGATTCTTCTGGAAGTCTTGGGTCGGGTAACCGTGATGAACATGTGAAAATTGTATCCACTCCTTCGAGAAAAGGGCGGCATTCGGTGTCTTGATAATTTGATTTTTATAATGTTTTTGTTAATGGGGGATGATAAAAGAAGGTAAGGTAGAGATGATGAATTGATGATGGTGTAAGTGTTTTTTTTTATGTTAGGAGATATCATAAGTTGTAGTAGTAAACTAGTAAGAAACTAAGAATCTCTGAAAATGGTGGATGTTTTGTGTTAGGGTGAAAAAAAAAAGTTTATTTAGGGATATTGGGGTAAAAGAAGAAACCCTGGAACTAGAAGTTGATGAAATCTAACAGATATCTAGTACCAACTTGTACTTTTGATTTTAATCTATAATGAAGTAGCATGTATTGGTATTGTTGGTGCGTCTTTTTATTGTCGTTTGTTTAAATTTTGTGTGAAAATCGTTTTTTTACATTGTTTTGTTGATAAGTAGTTCTTGCCGTTCTTGGTGGTTTGATAATAGATTACTTGAGTTATTGCCTTATTCGGTGGCGATGCTCTAATATTCCTAAAAATAAAAATAAAAAGTTCTTTTTTTAATGGATTAAAATTCTAATTCTAAACATGTAATAAAATCTGTATCTTGCTTTTGTTAGTTGTATTGTTACATCCAAATTTCGGGCTTTGTCACTGGCCAGAACAGTTTTAGAGGTTTATAAGTCAAGGGAGCTGATTTCGTACACATTATATTTTTGTCATACAGATTACATTTTTGTCATTACACAACAATTTTAACAATTTTTATTTTGCGAAAAATTGTTAGCTACGACGCTGTTATGTAAGAATCAATTTCTATAAACAAATAAAGTTCAAGTTCAAGTTGATTTCTAAAAAAAAATATGTATTTAATAATAAAATATTCAATATATATATATATATATATATATATATATATATATATATATGGAAAAGTGAATATACCCTTAAGGGTATATAAGCTTAGGTACCCAAACTCACCATACTACATCGTTTTGTATCATATATAGACATTATAATCATCCAATGTTCTTATAATTCAACTTCTAACTTTAATTACTTCAAAGATTTTTATAAATTTCATATTTATCTTCCTCTTACATAATTATCATTTTCAACAATAATATATATAGCCTAGTAAGTGTTCGACAAAAAGATGTGATGTAAGAGGAAAATAATAGTGAAATTTTAAAAATATTGAATATAAATCAAGTTAAGGATTGAAGTTTAACAATATTATAATGAATATATCAAACAAAACGACGTATTATTATGAGTTTGAGTACATAAACTTATATACCCTTAAGGGTATATTCACTTTTCCCATATATATATATATATATATATATATATATATATATATATATATATATATATATATATATATATATATATATATAAAGCTAGCATTTTTTCTTCAATCTCATGCATTTGAAACCCCTTTTTTAATTTTCTCAAACCACATTCATTTGAAACATTTTTATTTAACTAATGCAACTCAAAAGTTTTATAACTTATATTATGTTTAATTAACATTTAATGAAAAATTTACTATAAAAAGACTAATCTTTTGGGAAGAAATGCATACAAATCATATAAAAATTTCAGAAAAAAAAAAACAAACTTAAAGATTTTTATGTTGGGTTGAGGTCTTATGACCACTTTTGGAGATATGCTATTATATTAGAGCTTTTAATTTGTAAGTTTGTTATATTAATTCCTTTTTATATTTTTTTTCGTTTTTGGATTATTGTAATACAGTCGTTGTATATTGTGGTTTAATCGTTAATATATTGATCATATGTTATATATGGTGATGTCGAAAATATTTAATTAAATATTTTAAATATGTTTTTTTTTTGTTTTGTAATTGTACCGTTTCAAAAAGGTAATTAATTAAAACTCATACATATGTTATACTTTCCATCTCCATCCCTCTCTCTCTCTCTCTCTCTTTCTCTCTCTCTCTCTCTCTATATATATATATATATATATATATATATATATATATATATATATATATATATATATATATATATATATATATATATATATATATATAGGTCAAAACACTTCAACCAAAATTCATTTAAAATCTAATATTTCAAATGCTTTTTAATAATGATTGTAAAAATTTCAACATGTGTTACTTAATTGATTGATTAATAAAAATATTAATGTTTTGAAAAACTCTTAACTCTTAAACTTATATTATTTAATTTGTTAGTTAACTAAAATATTTTTCCTACATAAAGATAACATTTTTATGTTTGGTTACTCATATTTATTTATGTAATTAGAAAACAAGGTGTACATAGAATGACTACTTCAATTTCACATAGGAATCGATACCACTAGAGATGTATGTTGTCTTTAACCGGTGGTAGGAGATCCACATACCCTTTTTAATTATTTATATTAATGCTTAGTAATATCTATTTTATATTCCTATTCACCTTAATTTTTTAGGTACAAATTAAGGAAGAGGATTTCGGCGCACCAACATAAAGTTAAACGTACGCCTTGCAAAATATGTAATTAAAATTAAATATCATATTTACTAATCGACTTATTTTAAAACTCTTGATGATGACATTTATGTATAATGATATATTTTGTATGACTTCATTCTTAATTTCAATGTTTAATATTTGAAAGTTCATATATGAAACCTTGGATGTTTTGTTGTAATATAAATAGTGTAATACAAAGTTTATTAGTTCAATATTGTTTATTAATAGCTCATTCAAAAGAACTTATTTCTTATTTTATCCAAATTTATTGTCGGACATAAGAAAAGTAGATTATATTAATGTTATACAAAAACTTATAATATATATTGGATATTATAAAAGTAAAAGTAAAGTTTATAAGATATGGACTATATTAGATACTATCAAAATATAAATTGATGGATTTTTATGTTATTTGATAATTCGGTTAATGCCTAAAACATGACTAAAAACATAAATTTCAAAATATTTCTATTTTTTCCATAATTATTTTAACCACTTAAATGCATTCTTACGCAACGCGCGAATTTGAATTTGATAACAGGGATAACCCTCTAAGAAAGAGATATAAATTGCCACCTTATTGGTTGAACCAAAAGGCCACCTCTTGATGATAATGTTGGTAAATTATCTACCAATCGCAAGGTTAGTATTTTACTATATTTCATTTTAATCATTTTGTGAATAAGTTTCTATATTCATTATTTTTTTCAGCCCTCAGTTGGCATTGACATAATACTTTTTGGTTTATATTTCTTTTTTTTATTCTTTAACATGTGATTAATTGGAAACAAGGATACAAGTACTTCGTAATTAATTGGTCAATGGCAATAATCAATTACAAATCATATGTGATTTGTGTGAATTGACATAATATTTTAGTAATTAACTAGAAGCAAGACTATAAGTGTGTAGCGATTCACATGTAATTCACAAGTGAATCACATGAATTACATATGATTTACATGTAAATCTCATGTAATTCACATATGAATCGGATATAATTTACATGTAAATCACAAGTGAATCAGATATGAATTACGTGTGATTCACATGTAAATCACAAGTGAATCACATATGAATTACATGTGATTCATAGGAAGCATTTTTCATTTCACCACATTCATTTGAAACTCCCATTCATTTTCCTTTCATCACATTCATTTGAAACTCCCATTCATTTTCCTTTCATCACATTCGTTTGAACTCTCATGACTTTTCAATTTCTTTCTAATAGTAATTATAAGTTGGTTAATAAGGTTAAATAAATATCAAACCTAAAGTGTAATCATATATAAACTAAATTTCAATATTAAAATAATATCTTTACTTTTATTTATAAAGTTATATTTTTTTAACTTTTAACATATTATACTTAATTTGTTAGTTTTAATATATTGTTGGATGTAAATCATTATCATTTTAAAGATACAGTTTTAGAACAATTTATATAAAATACTTAAATTATTAATTTAAATATAACATTACATGGTCAACTTATATATAAATTTTAGTTTAACTTAAACAACGCAAAGAATATTTTGTAAATAGTTAAAAATGATTAGTTGTAGCGTCTTTCTAATAATGATTATAAGTTGGTTACTAAGGTTAAATAAATATCAAACCTAAAGTGTAATCATAAATAAACTAAATTTCAATTTTAAAATAATATCCTTACTTCTACTGATAAAGTTATGTCTTTAACTTTTAACATATTATACTTAATTTATTAGATTTAATATGTCATTGCATGTAAACCATTATCAATTTAAAGCTACAACTTTTGAACAGTTTGGACAAAATACTTAAATTGTTAATTTAAATATAACATTACAATGTCAACTTAAATATAAATTTCAGTTCCACTTAAAAAACCAAAGAATATTTTGTAAATAGATAAATTGTAGTGATAAATGCAAAAACTAAATTGTAATCTCAATTTAACTAAAATATTTCTTAAAAATATTTTTATAATCGTTAAAAGTTTTCAAATAAGTAGCTTAAAATAACTTACAATAACAATAATTAAAAATAACTCTATATAAATGATTATATTGTCACCTTTAAAATCAAAAAACAATGTTTGATGTCTTAAATAATTATAATGATAGATATTAAAACATCAAGCAAATAATTTTAAAAAATTAATTAATAATAACAACAACTATAAATAACATTAAATCATATGTTATATTTAATTTTATTCATGTGTAACTCGCGAGTAGAAGTCATTCAAACGATTGAGATTATGCAGTTATAATAGATGTATATATACTATCATATAATTCAAAACAATCAATATATTATATCAATTTAGTTTATGAATTATTATATCAAATTTAACAAAACGTTATTGTTATATTTTAAAAAAACACATATATTCGTAAAGACTTCAACTATATAGGTGTTTCTGCGCAGCGCGCGGACATTCGTCTATTGTATATATAAAAGGGTGTAACAAGACAATAACTCGGTTTGAAGTTTAAACATAAACCGCACTTTTTGTGTGAAATGATGTAAATTTAGCACGAGTAACATTAGCTAAAAAAAAATATTATATTACCTCTTTTTATATTAAAAGAATATTAAAATTTTATAATTTTTCTCTAACTTATATAAATTTTCAAATTTTATTCTTATTTTTATTACCATTTTACAAATTTGTCTTTTTTTTGTTTATTAGAATAACTGTATAAATTATATTATTAATGGTTATACATATAGTGTGATATGTCAAACTTTTAAATTTTATTAGTTATATTATTGTGTTTTAATCT